TTGTCACCAGAGCAGGAGAAAGACAAAGAACATAAGGATTACTGAGGACTGAAGGCCAAGTTTCTCTGTATCTGTTAAAGATTTTGATATGTTTGATTTATTTTCATGTTTCATTTTCATGTTTATTTGATATTACAGAACAGCAGGAGTATACAGAATATCAAGGTACTTTGTTGATCAAAGACATGCACCACCAGAATGGCATGTAAAATATAAACCTTATGGAAAATTGATAAGTAATGTAACATAAAATTTTAGCATTGTGTGTAAGGTCTGAGTAATATTTAATATATCGTGTAGTCAGTCATTTTAAATATAACTCTTCATTTTAGACACGTGTATTGCACATGTGCGTTTTTGTGAATATGATGTTTTTGTAAATGTTTGGCTGCACACTGTGTGATACATTACATTTTTTTTTCCCAAATGAGAGCTATAAGAGCAGAGAGTAGATCTCATGTCCAGTTACACAATAGGAAATTGGATTGTAGATTATGTCTGAACAGTATTTTTTTTTCCACACATCTAATCCTCTTCCGTATTTGTCAAAAGTCTGCTTATTGACTAATTTTACCTCCATGTTATTTCAACATCGCCCATTGTTCTCTGTGTTTCTGTATTTTTTTCACTGTTAAATTCATCAGAGGAGACTCTGGAAGAAGGTGAGGGATTTTAGTTGAAATTATTTCCTTTACCTACTTATCCTGATCCCTGAGTTCTGTGTTATAAATAGTCTTTTCCCATCCTCTGCTCATCACGGTGAAACATCTGTGGCTTTTCTTTTTCATTGACATGCATGGCATATAGAATTGTTGACTAGCATTAATTATGGAATTTTTGTCACAAGTGTGAAACGAAAATTAATAAATAATAGTTAATTTCATGTAAACAGTCATGTAATTTATACATTAAATAGCAAAATACTGTATTTCATGTCTGATGTGTCAAGAAGCCATTTTGATTATGCTAATGTTTCAGTATTAGTTAAAGATTTTATAGACTTTTTTTTTTTTGGTCTGTTTTTGTACATTTACAGTTTTTGTTTTCAGTCAGTTCACACAGTTTTTGTAAAAACAAATAAAACAGTATAAGGACAGGCTTATGATTTATGATATGAAAACTATGCATGACAAATCTACATCAGATGGTAACAGGCTCTAAATATCTGATCACATTCAACTTTTACAGCTCTTTTGTGTTACCCACTAGACTGACATGTGTTTTCCCCCCAAACACAGAATGTTATACTGTAATAAATCACTGACTTGAATAACATTGGCCTGTGAACTGAAGAGGTCACAAAAGAATCCTGTGACAGCTGTGTCCTCTAGAGTCTTGTGTTGTATCAGATGGACCAGCTTTATTTAAAAGAATTTCCAGATATTTTTAAAATGTGAAAATGTCAAAAGGAGGTGCTAAAACACAGATCATACAACCAGTGTAACTCACTATGACACACCAAGTCAGTAAGACTAGTGGATTATTGTACAGTTGTGTGCAAATAGGAAGGGCTTTATGATTACATTTGACAACAACTTCCTTGTTTCTTTTTACCCTTTTCTTTGCCCCTTTTTTCAGAGGAGGAAAGACCCCGGCCTAAGTAAGTGTTCAGACACTCTTTTCATCAAACCATCAGCACACTCTGCATTTTCCTAATGTCTTCATGCACTTATTCCCCTAAATCTCTTGCTGATTCCCCTCTCTCACACAGGCCCATGGTTCCACAACTTGCCCCTCCAAAGATTCCAGAGGGTGAGCGGGTTGATTTCGATGTAAGTAACAATCCACTTCAGTTCATCTGCTTAAAATTAACTGCAAACTGAGAATATACAGGGTTCATTTTCCCCACCCTGCATAGTTAATGGTTATAAGGTGTGCTCAATAAAGACACGAAAACACATCATTGTGTGTTGTAAGCTGTTTGGACATCATGAAAATTATGGTTTACCATTTATAAGCTATATAATTTTCTCTCTCAGGATATTCACCGAAAAAGGATGGAGAAGGACCTTCTGGAGTTACAGACTTTAATTGATGTCCACTTTGAGCAGAGGAAGAAAGAGGAGGAAGAACTGATCGGTCTCAAGGAGAGAATTGTAACTCCCAGTCTTTATCAATTCATTTTTTTATCTTTTATTTACCACAAAAAAAAACAAAAAACAAACACTTTCTGTACTCACTTTTCTCTTTACTTTGCACTAATTTTCGGCCATTCGGTCCATCAGGAGCGGCGGCGAGCAGAAAGAGCAGAACAGCAGCGTGTTAGAACAGAGAAAGAAAGACACAGACAGACAAGGATTGCGGTAAATCAATAAAACTTAGTAAATAAAATGCTCAAATGCTCTCTAAGTTGTATGTGGAATTTAATACAGAATAAAATCGATGTGAAATGTATTATCTATGCTCTCTCATCAGGAAGAGCGTCAGAGGCAACGAGCTCAGGAGATGTGGAACTGGATTTACCAGCTGGAGTCAGAGAAGTTTGACCTCTTGGATCAAATGAAGAGACAGAAATATGAGGTGTGGCGATTTGATAAAGAATTGAGGTTTGAGAAATCTAGGTGTTGGCGACTGATGAATAAGGATTACACTGTATTAAATCTGTTTGTTTTGGCAAATACTAATCTGTGTTCGGTTGAATTAGAGGAAACCAGATGAAAAGATAGAAAGTGAAAGCCAGTGAAAGTGCAAGCGATACAGTGTACTTATCTGAACTTTGCTTTCTTCTCAACAGATTGTTGTTCTGTTGAACAGGATTTCCCACGCTCAAAAGTTGTAAGTCACATTAAGTTAATTAGCAGATTGTTTAAATGCCGAAACACACTACATCTGAACAGATTTTATAACACTAGGTATCATTCACTTGCTAACTTTGTAAATGGTTATAGAGAAAAATAGGGAATCATACACTAAACAACAGGGTCACACACACACACACACACACTACCAGACTTCCAAACACAGCAAACTCACTCAGAAACATGCGCCTGGTTGAAACATGTTTGATTTTTTCAGACTGGATAAAATCAGAGTCATGACTACGCCAGGGCCGGCACCAAGGTGGGGCCCTTGCCCCTCCAGACTTGTTACTATGCCCCCTTCCCCTCTTCTCCCCTCCTTGCTGTATGTGATCGATTTCGAAAGCGAAAGTGAAAGCAAAAAAAAAACTGAGTATTGCACGCTTTCATGGGCGTTAGCACCACTCAACATGAATTATAAATGAAATGTAAATGCCCACTACCCAATGTAGGTGCCCTGGCGCCGGCTCTGGAAGCTGTTAAATCTGACTGGCTCTGACTTTAATCTTCACCAGACTGTAAATCAGTACAAAAAGCTAGGCAAAAGTTGTGTAGTGTGTTTCTAACTTAAAGGCATAGTCCACCCAACATATCTTCTTTTGCGTTTCACAGAAGAAAGAAAGTCATGTAGGTTTGGAACAACATGACAGAGTTAATGATGACAGAATTTTCAATTTTGGGTGAACCAACCCTTAAGCATTTTTCTTCAATGAAACATTAATTTAAAATGTCCATCTGTCTCAGTTATGCTCATATTTCACCTCTCTCTTTATCACAGCAAAAAAGGCCATGGTAAAGGAAAGGTTGGAGGTCGCTGGAAATAAGAAATTGGAAAAATAATGAAAAGACACCATGGATGCTTTTACTTTTGTTTCTTCTGTCAATTTCACAGCCTGTGCAAAAGAATAACAGTTCTGAATGTATTCAAAACTCCTCTCAGATCTGATGTGCTTGGATTAGATTAATCACTTCTGTAATTGGATAAAAGGCTTGGCACAACGTGTCACTTCTGACACGTTGGATAAAAGTGTCTGCTAAATTAATAAATGTAAATGAAAAATGAAAAATGCATCTGAATCATCATTTATTCTTTGCAAAGCAGACTGGAAATGCAACAGAAACTAATTCACTCCCAAAGGGAAGAGGAATGTATGTTGAGGAAATGAAAATAAGTTGTGTGTCAGAGAGAAGTGGCTTTGACATAATTTAAAGATGTTCGTCTTCATTCATCATGTTTAAAACATGGCCTGAGAATCCTGTTTTCATGATGCTGCACAAAAGTTGTGGTCTCCAGCTCACATGCCTCACTATTAAAAGCTTAAATAATTTCCTTAAATGTACTTTCCTACGTGTCTTTTCTGTACATCAGACATGAAGCCTCTTGTGCAGTAGTGAGTGACACAATAGTAAAGAACAGGTTGAGGGAGGATTCAGGGATGGAGTGTTCACCTATACAAAATAGCATTAAGGTGTAGTTCCCAGCAAATATTTGTGTGAAAATTACAAGTGTAATTGTCAAAAGGTGTGTACTATAATTGTTAAGACTTGCTGAAGGCAATCGACAGGCCCACATTAACACTAGGCTACATTACGTCTTAACAGAAGGATAGGCTATGAGTTAACATGTAGGCCTAATTAAATTAGTCCCACTTCACAGTAGTTTTAGGTAAAGTGCAATGTATATTGTGTTCATGTTGTATTGTTGTAAAACACGTTTGCTGCTATACAAAAAGTGTTATGGGTGAAGGTAAAGGTTGGTCAGTGAAAGGTTTCGTGGTGGGTGGGTTAGGGAAACGGGCAGGGTCACCTGTGAAATTATAGATGTATCATACAGAAATGATTTAAAGATGTATTTACATGCAGGCATTATATGAAATGTACTGCACATGTATGTGTAGCCCTCGCTCTCTCTGCGTGCCAACTGGCCTCTAGCACCGCCGCTGCTACTCTGCGCTGTGTTCGTGGGTGGTGGTAGCCCTGTTGAAAAAACCAGCATATGCTGGTTAGGTATGTTTTGACGCTGGGATGCTGGTTTAAGCTGGTCCTTTGCTGGTTTAAGCTGGTCCTTTGCTGGTTTATGCTGGTCCTTTGCCAGCACATGACCAGCATAAACCAGCAAAAGGACCAGCATAAACCAGCAAAGGACCAGCTTAAACCAGCATCCCAGCGTCAAAACATACCTAACCAGCATATGCTGTTTTTTTCAACAGAGAGAGGAGACACGGACACAGAGGGGTTCGGGATCGTGGCTCGACCGTTTATTCCACAGCACGCATCTATTCTATAGTGTTGATAACATAAACTGAAGAAAAGATGGCGCACTACACGCCTATCAACACTACAGTACATCAAAAGGCTCAAACAGTGCTAAAAATACTTGAATCTGCCCTAACACAACAGTGTCATAGCGACATCTTGTGGACAACACAATACACTGCCCTACAAATGTATTAGAATTTCTGACATTTTTAACCTGATTTAACCAACTGTTGATCTGCAATCACCATCTGGTGGTCGTGAGGCTGAGCGCTTGTTCATAACAAATTAGTAGACTAGCAAAACTTCATGTTAACACTACGCCTCCTGCTGGTAAGTAGATCTTAATACAACGTTCTTGCTGTGTGAACGAGCATGCTAATTTATACAAGCTTCCCGAAGAGCCTTTGAGAAACCAATTTAAAAATCATTCTTATACTTAATGCTAGGCTAGTCTCAAAGCAGCAGTGTTGTAACATGACGGTCGCAAATTCGCTTTCTCGTAGATGTCATGCTAATATGGATTAGCATAGTTAAGAAGATTATTAATGTAAGAAGAGTATTAATCTAAAACCAAAACTTACTACAATATTCTCAAGATATACATTGGGTGCATAAACTCTCTCAATCACGGTCAGTATATCATTTTGGCTAGCTTGCAATGCACTGATTTGCATATTGGTTTGTGTTAATCTGTATGTGAAGAGTTCAGATGCAAAAGCCTCCTAAGTGCCATTTGAAATTTTCTTCTAAAATGAGCATTTTTCTCACGCTCCTATTCAGTATTTTCACTTTAATGGCAATGAATAGTCTTTTCATTGCCATTAAAGTGAAATAACTGCAAATAAACATAGGAGCCTGACAATAATGCTCATTTTAGAAGAACATTTCAAATGGCACTTAAAGGCTTTTGCATCTGAACTCTTCATGTTTTGTTGTCCTTAACCAATTCATATTTTTTAACCAGTTTACTTACTTTTTATTTAAAATGCTGTCTCTCTATCTATCCCTAATCACTCTGTATGACTTTGTCTGTGTCCTTTCTAGTCTCCTCCATCCTCTCCGCACTCCCGCCCTTCACTGGCTGTAAATCCCTGTTTACATGTATGGCTTAGTCCAGCACTGCACCACAAGATTAATCCAGGTTTCCACCTACAACTGGACAACTCTAAATACTACTGAAACCAACCAGATAATTGCTTTTGGTCGACATGTTTACATATAATAATGGCTGCCATATTAATAAATCATTTTATATTATGATGAAATATTTACCAACAGTTAATGACTAGTTTTTAGCCCCAGAATTATACAACTATTGTGTGTCTATTTGTACATGAAATGAAAACACATCTTGTATCCAATTGTTGTGTTTATAGTCATCTTGGTTCACAGAAAAAAAAAAGACGAGGCAAATCAGGACAGTTCCCAGATAGCACATGTACGTCTGCAAGATGTCTGTTAAAGATCGCTTCATCTGGAAAGCATCTGCTGTGTACAAACATCTGATAGACGTCTTAAAGATGGCAGTTTTACATACATCCTAAATTATAAACATCTTAAAGACATTTTCTAAACATCTATTTGACATCTGACAGGAAACGTCCTAAGTTATTGCAGATGAGCAAACACTAAAAAAATACGTCTTGCAGATGTAAATGCAGACGTCAAATAGATGTCTCCATGCTGTACGTGTGCTATCAGGGTTTTGGACAGATACATACACACAACACTTTCAAACAAACACACACAGTTATCATCCACATACAGACACATTTAAATAAGAAACACAATCCAGATGAACATAAAATACATAACATTTATAAAAGTTACTCCTCCTTTGTTTCACAGTAAAGAAGGGTACAGGAAATGATGTTAATAACGTAACAGACAGAAACTCCTCAGTGAAAGGACGGATTAAATTTAAATGATTTTGCCTGATGTGTGCTGAAAACTTTATGTTGAGGGTGGATAAGATATTTAGCGGATAGGTGCTTTAAGGGCAGCATCTACTTCCTCTTCAGGCTGAAGGGTGTGCCACTGGGCCACAGGTCGTCTGGGATTGGCCAGCATGTCTGACCAGTGGCGCAGACCCACTCCGCTAGCACCAAACCCAATCCAGCACTTCCCAATTGGATCATTGCTTCCCAGTTTATCATAGTCGTAGACAGTGATCAACACCTGGATCTTCTACAGGAAGTCAGAGAAACCGAAAAATAGGTCGATACGCATTTAATGCACTTTGTTGTTTCTCATCAAACCTTTCACTTGTAAACAGATGAGTTTAGTAGACTGAAAAATGTTTGCTGTACTATTTACTTTGAAACAGTCAAAGCAGAAGCATTTAAAATTCAAGATTTTGCTAGTAAAATTCACAAATAATTAAAAAAGAAATGGCAAGTAACATTGAATTAAATGTGAAATTCTGAAGTAGAAAGACTGAAATTACTGCAATAATCTGTTTTATTTACTTCGAAAATTATTTTTTTTACAGTGTAGTAACATTATCACTTTAAACATACTATACAGAGAAAAGCTCGCGTTTTGCGGAATTAAAGGACCACAAATATAAATCTGTAAATGTATTAGATATGCAAGTAGTCAAGGAAATGTGTTTCAAACATGTTTACCTGAATCTGAGCGAAGGGGACTTCAAAGCTGAAGCTTTCATTAAAGTAGGGGTTCAGTGTGTTCTGCTTAACTGTCGTCTTCTTCTTCTTGATACGCTTTCCATTGTGTTGCAAAACCACTTTCACAAAAGGATCTTAGACAAAAAAGGAAAGAAAATGGGTAAAGCCAAGAAATGCAGCAAAGCCAGGATATTTCAAAGTAAAAAAGTCATTACTTTAAAATAAAGTCACATTTGATGTGTAGAGAATCATTTCATTTTAATATAAAGTACAACACAGAAAGGAAATGTAACTTTAACATAATAACGCTACCACACTAACCTGATAAACCACCCACGTCCATCTTCTTCAGGTTCTTGGCCTCCATGATACAGACAGTCAGCTTACCAGAGGTGGGCACATAGCGCAGGGAGATACAGACATCTCCCAACTTTTCTTGCTGTTGGACAAGAAGAGGAGAGTGATTAGTTTAAAAGCTTCAAAAAACAGACTATGGCAGCTGATAAAAAAAAAAATTTAAACAGCCAAGGAAAGCCTTACTTCCTCTTTCTGTCCTCCGACCAGGTCTTTCCATTCGTGTATGGGCTGGGCCAGGTCAATGCTGTTCATAGGGATTTTGATCTCTCCAATTACATCATTTTTACCAAAGCGGTCAAAGTCAAACACCTGCAGGAGCAGAGTCTGTCCTGCTAGATCATTAAAGGGGATCTAGAAACAGAAATAAAAAATCACGTTGCATGAACACTGACCTAGTACCATTTATGCAAAGAAAATGTATTTGCTTTATTTAGAAAAAAAGTTATGTTGCACTTAGTCTACTGTGAAATGAAGATATTAATTACTTAGACTACTGTGAAATTAAGTGTATGACAAACTGTCTTTAAGCTAATCCCAAAAAAATGCACCTTAAATATGAATGTCTCGTTGAAAACAGGACACAGATTCTTGCGCTGGACCTTGGTTTCAAACTTTTTCTTCTTGTCTGGTAGCATATAAACTTTGACATATGGGTCAGATGTTCCACCCATATCCATGGCAGCAAGGTCTTGGGCTTGCAAGACACCGACAATGAGCTGAAGGTTGTTGAAGAAAAGGTTGTGGGT